AATAAAAGAACTAGTTATAATAATAATAATAATAATAATAATAATAATAATAATAATAATAATAATAATAATAGTTATAGTAATATTTTATATATATCTTATTTCTGGTCGAGAGTTACATGAGAAGATTGATGACAGTCTCGGGTCTGTACAGTAACCAGAGGTGGAACCAGGAGATGATTAGCAGACGTGAGTGATATCATTAAAAAATTAGCACATTTCCCACTGTTGAATCATTTTCTCAAAGTGGACCATATGTAAACAAATGAAGGTAAAACAACACCCAGTAAGCAAGAAGAACTACAAAATAAATAAAACTTCCAATGGGAAGGTAACATTGAGTGTCATTGTGATGATAAGAGATGCCATACATAGTTAGTGAGATCTTGGAAAAGTGCATATAAAGAGAAGAAATGTGGTCCCAATACTGACCCCTGAGGCACACCATACTTGTTTTGACAAAATGAAAATGGGAAAATGATTTGTGAAATGGTTTCAGCTCCAGTTCCACTTGTTCTAGTCACTGTTTTAAAGAAAATGAAGTTTATTTTAAGTGTAAAACTTCTCAGTGAAGCTCTGACAGCATGTGGACTGGGTGTCTTAGCAGTGACAAGAGCATCAGACCAACAGGCAGACAAGTGAAGAAGAGCAGATGGAGTGATATTGTCATCCCATATGTGGTTGTGTGGTCTATCACTGCATGTTTTTTTTCGCCAAAATTTCAACTACAAGTTAAGACAAAAACATATTCTAATGCAAGGAGGAATGTACAGATACAGTATATACACTTGGCAGAAAAGCAGATGATACATACTGTACAGTACTGACTGACACAGACTTACTACTAAACACTTACATTAGAGCCTTTACAAAGTGGGTAGGTGTTTTTCTTTTCTTTTACCAGATTAGATGAACTTACATGTTTCGATGTGGTCCATATGTGTCCAGCATGAGAGTGCTGGACTCTTCCAGGTTCCACTGGCAGCGCTGCAGAAGCTCCTCGCACTCGGCTCTCGACCGCAGGCCCAGACGAAACAACTGCTCCACCTACAATACAGACGGTGACAAGAGGCATTTTAAGCAGAATGGGTGGCAAATTGTTTCATAGTTGTGTTTAATGTATTTTTTAATGACCTGTGTTCAAAAATGCATTTTTAACATGGTTAGTAACAGCAGTTAAAAGATGGAGGCTTCCGGTATTTCAGGCAGGCACACGTCATTTTACAGTTCCATTCATCCTCCAATAATTTATGTCCATGACCTCACTGTACAGTGTCCATATAAACATTGTGCTCATTCGGTCTTCATACAACACTGAGTTCTATATCCTCGCTGCTCACTTTCAAGGATGTAACTCCCTCCACCTACCAAGCAGTGGTGGAAGAAAGTAGCAATACACACTGTGAAAATAATTAACTACAAGTCCTGCATTCAAAACCTTAAAGCAGCAACCAGGAACTTGTTTGTTCATTCAGGACATATAGAGGCATCCGTATTAAAAGACCAGTGTATAGGATTTAGTGGCATCTGACTGAACATCGCTGCCATCTGTATTTGTCTTTGTCGACCTCGGAATGAGAACGGGCTGTGAAGTGTGGAGGAGAAACTATGGTGGCCGCGAAACTCACGAAAGACACAAAAAACTACATATCTACAGCAAGTATTTGGTTTGTCCCTTCTGGGCCATTGTAGAAACATGGCAGTTCAACATGGTCAGCTCCACGGAAGCAACCCGTGGCATTTGTAGATAAAAAGTGCTCATTCTACGGTAACAAAAACACACATCTTATATTCAGGTGGTTATACGCTAATGAAGACATACCTTTGTATATTATATTCAGTTTCAGTTTTATATCCGCCTAAATGTTACACACTAGACCTTTAAGTGTTAGTTTTATCTTCCAAAGCTAACAAAGTAATGTGAAAATGTACACAGGGTAAGTGTACCTTCAAATGATTTATGGCCTGAGGAATGCTCCAATTGTGACCCTGCAGAGCTGCCTGACACTCCTCCAGCGTGACACCGTGTACTGCTCCTTGGACCTGTCAATCATACCACGAACATATCATGAATGGAGGATGAAAGTTAAAGAAACATGACTGGACCTATGGATTGTTTGTATTTTCAACCGAGATATGAAAAGGAGAGTCCTCTAGTTTTTCAACAATTTCAAAGCCTTCAAAAAACCCAAATACTCTGTGCTCTGTATTTACAAAAATATGTTTCTGGGTGTTGATGGGAGCAGGAATGACGACTGAATTTAAGATCAAATGTTCCTAAATATGGGCTGTTTAAGAGACTAACACACTTCCTGGTGTGTTTGTGATCTGCTTTTGATCATTTGCACATCAGTATTCTGTACAGACAAATGTCACCAGGCTGCCAAAATGTAGTCATAATTTGTTCAAATCTGAATAAATGTCACCCTACTCTGAATAGTCTTCTTGTACATAGAAACAGGTGTTCTATAAAAGCCATTTAATGAAAACAGGCTGATACAAGCTGAAGTTTTTATTTAAAACTTGCTCAGTCACTTCATCAAATTTACAACAATCAACCATCCAGACAGCGGAGGAACAAGAGATTAAGTTTGAATGTTATTAGAATTGTTTTTTTGACACAGGGATGTGGACTTCCTTGATCAGGGAGTTTTAAAATTGTATCAAAAATGTTTGTTGTGGGTGACTCTGATTTGTCTGTGTGTAGTATTTAAGAGCCTTTGGTGTTCTATACTTATTATTTGTATATTATATTACCTGTGTGACGCTTTGCTCCTGTTGCATGCTGGGAGCTGCAGTTCGCCCATTGTTGTTGTTGTAGGAGGAGTTTGGTTTGGCTCCGCCGGGCTGCTGGATCATGGGTTTCACTGCTGCCATATTAGCTGCTCCGTATCTGATAAGAAAACCAGATACCAACTATAGTGAGAGTTTACAGGATTACATACATACATTACATGAAGGAATGTCTGTAATAGTTAACAAAGTTTATCTGTGAACAAAAACTCCACTTTTATTTATGTACTGAATCAAATCTTGTACAATTTTAAAAGTGTATAAACACATTTATTTCATATATATTAAGGTCCAGCTACTCAATTAAAAAGTTTATTATCTTGGTGAAAAAAGCGATATAAAGACTTAAAATAGCTTTAAAAACAGGTGTTAAAGACTATAATCTTTTATTTTATT